TGTGCCGCACTCCTTGGTAGTTGAGACGACATAGAGAACAAGCCAGATAAAATTGGTGGCCTTGAAAACAGTGACTTCTCCTCCGCGTCACTGATTCTTCGTTCGCTCCACTGTTTCACCCGTTCCCCTTGTGAGCGTGGGAAAGATTATGCCTGAGGCCCTTTCCTCAATTTTGGGAAAGTTTATTTAGCAAAGAACAATTACTTAAGTTTTTTTTTAATTATTGTATCCCGTATAGTTTAGACGAACGTACAGTAAACGAACTCATGTTCGCCTTTGCCCAAGCCCAACACAAAGGAGATCTACAAGATAAAGAGTTTGAAGCCAACCCTGATAAGAAAGCCTCCTTGCGCAAAATGAGAGAGGGGGAGGACCTCCACAGTGGTAAGTTGTATTATTTTATGACACAATCTCCATTTCGCGCGAAAATTAATAAACGATAGCCTCCATTTGGTGCGAAAGTGTGCTCGGATATTTGTTCGCGAGCATTATCGGCTCCGAGAAGCGGTTTTCCTGGCGCGTAGGAATAGAAAATGCTCATTGTCACTGTAAGGTCTGAATATTGGAAAACCCGTCTTTTTCCTTCATGAATTTAATTTCTTTTCTCTCTTGATCTGCTTTAGGAGCAACACGCTTGGTGAAGTTAGATCCCAAAGATGGAGAATTCTACCAAGTTCTTGCTGCATCTCTCCAGCATCTTGATGCGTATGCCAAGGGTGATTTACGCTAAACACTTTTTTGCGTTTGTCTTTAAAGCGTAACAGGAGCTCCTCGGGAACTGGAGATTACAGAAATTTATTTTCTTTCACATTAATTCTTGAGACAAGATTTCCGTATTAGATTTTGAATAATGGATATGGGACTGTTCATTTTTTCCCCTCAATTTGTAGCGTATTTAGTTTTCTGTTTTTAACTCCTTGCGCTGTTCCATGGGTAATCGGTAGACTTGTTTATGATTTCAGCCGGCGATGTATGCTTCTTTTCTTTTTTCTCCTTTTGAGGATGCTGAATAAAACTGATAACCTAGAATTGTTCATGTGTGTGACTTTACCTTCAGCTGCTGTTAAACTCATCCTTTCATACCTCTGCGTAATATTCATATGGCTTGTACAGTTGAACCTCTATCAGGGGCTTCGTATAAGGCGGTCATCCTGTACTGAACGGTTGTTTCTCAAAGTACCGAAGCTTTTTTACCTCTATCAACTCCTCTAACAAGTGGTCGTTGTAATACTTGACTGAGTCCTAACGATCTGTTTGTTTCGTCACCACTTACAGTGAGCACGCACTTAAAGCGGAACCACAAAAATAAAACCAAGAATGATCCCTCAAATAAAAATTTTTTCCATGTTTATTTCCCCGTAATCAATATTAGTACTTTAGTTCAAATGTCCTCAACGCTTTGCATGTGGAATTGTTCTGTTTAACGGCCACCAGGAACTTTCCTTAGCGATAAGCAAAGTCGAACGCTTGATATATGAAAGCCAACTACGGAAACCGAAAAAAAGACAAACGCTAATTTCCAATTACATATCTTCTCTGGACTGTAAGAAAAAATATTACGCACGAACATCACGCAAGTCATTTGCAAATTTATGACCTGAAGTTCCCAACGTCAGATAACCATACAATACGTACAGTAATTCCGCTTTATTTTCCTGTTTTGACGAAACGACCTCATTTTGTTGCTGCTATTTATTACGAAGAGTTATTGTATTTTTTTAATCAAGGTTTTGAATAAAGTGTATATCAAGTGATCAATTGCGGCATAAAATCGCGATTTTTATCGTGTTTGACCTCCGTATTAAGCAGTCACTCCGCCATTATTAACACCAAATTTTGACGTCTCCTGTGATCCATATCTAAACAGATCCACGGCAACATGGAATCTATTCGTTTTAGATTATAAAAACCAAAAGGTCTTAAATGGGGACATCATTTTTGTAGGAAAGCACTTCGTAACATTGCTTCAAACCATATGAGCCCCCTAATATTCCAGCGGTTAGGGTTAGGGCAATGTTGCATGTCTGACTGATCATACTAAGGACCAATTAAAATGCGAGTAACTTTAGTTCCTAGAGCAGGTTCCTAAAGGGTCTTCGAATCGTACACAACTTCTGAGAGACTGGTGATGAGAGCAGCGCGAGGGCTGCATTATGGGATTTTTCTTCCCTTTTCGTCCTCTTGCTCGGATTCCACCATCTTTGTTCACGTGGTTGGAAGGTCAGTGCAATAATGTGTTGATTTTGAACGTTTCCACTATTCTGTTTCAACTGATATTAACTAACGGTAACTTTAAATTACAGAGGACCGTGAAAATGGTAAATACAACTGGAATTAGGCGCGGTACGCGCTACATGTTCTCGCGGGATTTTAGGAAACGTGGTAAGTTTTTTAAGAAGAAAGCACTTTTGATTGTATTATTAGGAATTTCTCGTTTTTTATCGGATTGTTTTACCAACTTACTGCCTTGAGGACACATTTGAGTCATGTTCCAAGCCTCGCGACTCCATACATTTGACGAATTCGATATTCTCTGAAGAATTCATATTTAGATAAAGTTACGTATGTTTCCTTTGAAGTTTCAGTCCAGTTTGTTAATTAGCGTGCGTTCATATGAGTAAAAGTACCTGATTTGAATGTTCAAATGGACATTAACAGAATTGGATTCTAGTTGTATGAGTCGATAGAAAGGCGACTCGGAAGTCGACTTACAGATTTGCCTTTCCTATATTTTTTAGCCGATGACTTCCAACTTTTGTTTTCGAGAGTTATTTTACAATTCTGTGTTGTAGACTTAAAGCAATAGGGTAACCATATCCTATAAAGTCTGTTGAAAATTAATAAATTCTTATACATACACCGTTGGGAGTATCTCATTTGCAGAAATTATTTGCAGTCAGCCACTGATGCTTCATCAGTATTTTTTATTATGCCAAGGGTGAGGGAACATTTGTTAATGATAGGCAATCGTTGAAGTTTACTCTCACATGGGAAGGTAAAATTTTGGAATCAGGCAACATATAAATGAATCATTGAAGAACAATTTTTAAGTTCAATGTTTTCTTTTTTCAGGTGTCATTCATCTCTCCACCTATTTAAAAAGCTACAAAGTTGGTGACATTGTAGACATCAAGGTATGATATAACAAAAATTAATGCAAGGTGCACTTTGTGTATGGCAAGGTGTCTTTTGTATTCTTATCTTCTTGAATGGTTTTTGGGATTTCCAACTCATTAACCCTTTAACTCCCAGAAGTGATTAACAAGTAACTTCTCCCTACAATACTTGTGCACTTTCCAGCAAACAGGTAATAAGACTACTCAAATGTATCAGGTAGAAGTTGTTATCTGGATCTAACACCAAATTCTCATAAGTTATTTACAAGGAAATGTGTAACAGCTGGAGGGGAGAATTTACAATTGGATATTGGGAGTTAAAGGGTTAAAGCATTGACCCTTATTAGTGACTAGAATCTAATTTCTTGTAATAAGTCACCCTTTATTCAAAACTTTTGGTCACAGTAATAAAAGAAATAATCACCAACTGAGGAAGCTCTTGGTTATTAAACAAATCCTCCTCATCAGCACCTTAGGAAATGTTAAGAGAGCAGTGTGGAGAACATGCATACTGATGTAGGAGTGTTGAGGGTTATTAAGCCTGCTATTTATATTTCTATTCAAGGTTAATGGTGCTGTTCATAAAGGCATGCCATACAAGGTCTATCATGGAAAAACAGGGCGTATTTTTAATGTCACAAAGCGTGCTGTTGGAGTAGTTGTCAACAAGCAAGTGAAGTAAGTGAACTTTAACACTGAAGCCAAGTGAGTTTCCTAGAGTTCTTTCAGAAATGATACACAGCCTTATTCATTTTTGTTTTCAGACAGAAGGCTGCAAGATGTTGTCTTTTCCTTAAAAAAAATAATAATTTTATCATTCATTGAAGCCTTAGTTTTTTTTGGTTCACTTGCAGTCCTTGTGCTAGCAGTACTTGTGCTTGGCTGGCAGTTTTATTTGTTATTTAAAGTACAGCATCACTTGCTCTTTAAACATTTCGAACCTTTATGATTATTATCTGCAATAGTTTGTACTAATAAAAATGTTAAGTTCTGATATATAGGTAAATAACTTGAAAATTAGTTTTTCAAGCCTTTCAGTTTGCTTTTGTGTAACAATCCTCTTCTCAGATCACAGTTTTGGGCAAAGTGTTGTGCAAGCATTTAAGAGAGATCAGAGCTTAACTAAAACTTGATAATATTGTTGTTTATGTGTATTGTTTCTCTCTTCTATCAGAGGAAAAATCTTGCCAAAGAGAATCAACATTCGTGTTGAACACATCAAGCACTCCAAATGTCGAGATGACTTCTTGAGGTAACAATAAAATTTCTGTACTGCACATATATATATTGCAATAATCAATATTCTAGAGATTGTAATAGAATACTGAACACCCTACTGGCTTATTGAATCACATTTTGATATTAATTTACAGGTGCGAAGAAGAAATACAAGGCAAACATAAGAATTTGCCTTATTTTTTATAGCTATTTTAACAGTGGTTGTTGTGTTCTTCAGGCGTGTGAAGGAAAATGAACAGAAGAAGAAGGAGGCCAAAGAAAGTGGGGGAGGAAAGGTTGATTGCAAAAGAAAGGTAATTTATAAAGTTGTTTCCAGCTTTGGGGTAGTGATGTATACTAGATTACAAATTATGTGTACATATCTGTAGAGGTGAAGGGTTATTTAAAGTCTGTACTTGAATCAAGAGGCCCATCCAGCTGAAGCTCATCCTGGATTTTATTATGAAGTGAATGGAAATATTACCATTCCCCCATGGATGGGAGGCCAGTTGATGGCAAGGTTATCCCCCAGTATTTCATCAGGCTTCCCTGGCAATTTGTTGGTACCCATTTACGCTCCTGAATGGAGAATGGAACTGTGAAAGTGTAGAGTTTTGTCCAAGAACACAACACACTGAGTCAGCCAGATCTTGAACCCCTTCCCTTGCACCCAAAACCCAGCACAACCATTAGGCCACAGCATCTCCCATCATTTCTCAAGAGAGCATGGAATTTAGATGCGATGTGACTCTGAACTCTAACAGGTATGGAAGGAATTTTTCCTCTTTATCAACAATGATCATAATATTTTGTTTTCTATCTGTTACAGCCAGCTGTACCCCGAACTGCACACTTTGTGCGAACCAAGAGAAACACACCAGAAACCTTGGAGCCAATCCCATACGAGTTTGTTGTATGAAAAAATCTGAAATAAACTTTTAAATCCACATTCAAGTGCTGTTGCTTTCTCTTTGAGTACCATTTGTGAGTTGATTTAACCCCAATTTATCTGTGATAGTGGTTTTCAATCGAAAGTATAAAAAAAACTTCATCAGTTGTGTTCAAAGCAAAGAGGCTTGGGATGGCAGCAATGGAGGTCACCAGCATAACTCTGTTACAGCCCACCTCTGATTATTGTCAACACTTTAACAACAAACTGGTGCAAAGAATAAATACATACCCAAAATTTGGCATGGAGAGAGGGAGGGTAATGATGCAAGCAAAGTAGTAAGGTAAAACAACAATCTAATTTTGTCCCTCTGCGAGAGATTTTTTCCTCTGTCTCAATCTTTACCCTTTAATGCCCAGATCTCATCAGCAATTCTCCTTACTGTCTACTATACAATTCTTGTGATGTTAATTTGGAGAATTTGGTGATGGATCAACTTGTAATCCCCTAACTGAAATTTTTCTTTATTCTCATCACTTGTCTGCTTGATATTGTAAGGAGAAGTTCTTTCTTGGTCACTGATGGAAGTTCCCTTAAAAAGGCTGATTGAGCTGCATCAGGGGTCTGACATATAAGAAATGGCAAAAACTTATAGAAAAAGTGTTATCTATACATCTCAATAAATGGCGAGAATTTGTTTAACAATCGAGCTGCATTAGATTGATCATTTCCTTAATCTTTGATTCAGGGTTGATTATGTAAGGAGAAATTAGACACTAGTTACTCTTAAGGACAAAAAGTTGAATATCATTGAGGTGACCATTTGGTAAGTTGAAGATTCAATTTAACATTTTATTGCCTTTTTAAGGTTCACAATGTATGACATGTCAGCGGTCATTGGATACAGTTATCATCAAACTTGACATTTTAATTCCAGGATTCTAGTAAAATTACCAAAAAAATTGTGTATGGATCTCACTTCATACAACCTTGGACAATTTCTTCATTTCAATGCCACAGTTTGCCTTATTCAAACTTCATATCTCAATGTTCTTAGTTTCCTCTCAGGTTAGAAACTGTTGAATTAGAAGGGCAACATTCTATCAAATGTTTTATCTCTCAATTTTAAGAAGTCATTTACAAGAACAAGAAGTGCAAATTATTTAGAGACAGGAAGTATTGGGTGCAATCATTCAACTAATCACTTCTTTTTGCCAGCCTTAACAAACTCCTTGTTCAGTGATTGAACAAATTCTGTGTAGTTTTCCAGTGTTGATCCACACACCTCATTAGCAAAGAGCTCATTCTTTGATAACATAACATCATCAAGGCTTCTGTTGCTTAAAACTTCTGGTTTTTCTGCTTTTACAAACTCAACTCTCTCTTTAAGATGAGCGATGGGTTTCAAAAGACATGATGGATGTTTAATGACATCTTCAACTTTCACTCCAACTGACAATAGATATTCCAGTTTCTCATCCAATTCCTCTTTCTCGAGGAAAAAGAAGTTTTTTGCTGTCATGACATGAGCAATCTCTTTGTTCTTGATACCTCTATCCTGAAACCATTTGATAACAGCCTCCACAGTAGAATTTTTGCTGTCAAACAAAAACTGTCTTGTTTTGACAAGACTGTAAAGTACTGTTGGGTTTTGGACAATATCACAAAGCAGCTGAATCCTATTTTTCACAGAGTCCAAATTTACAAATATTTCTGGCTTTGTAATCAGAAGGTGCTGCACTGCCTCCATATCTAGCAAAAGGGGCTTGCTCCTCAAAAATGCCACTGAAGTACTCAAAGTATCAACATCAGTAGAAAAGATTACTGGGTTTGTGACTGCAATGATAAGTGGGGATACCTCCATTTCTTCAAGAAAACTTATGACTTCCTTGAAATTTTCCTGCAAATCGACCTGCTCTTTAAATTTCTCAGCAGAGTGAAGGATTAAGTTTAGGACTGCCTCCTCTTCCTTAAGGCTTTTGCCTGTCAATTCTGATTGTAACTTCTTATGCGAATTAAGCAAAAGAGAAACAATCTCTAAAGACTCCTCTCTAAGCGGGAAGCTGAGAAGCAGAGGATTATTTGAAATGATTTTCCCAATGATATTTTTTGCGATCCCAGCTGATGTAAGTTTGCGGATATTTTCTTGAACTCTGCTCTGATCAAGGCTGAAGACATATGGTGTTTTAAACATTAAGGTGACGATATCACAGTTCAAATCTTTGAGCACTTTCAGCATCTCAATAAAGTTGGGTGAATCCCACGAAAGGATGGCAGGAAACTCCAGAGCAATTATCAAGGCATCCCTTCCAGTGATCCCTATCTGGGAGAGGAAATTCAATCTCTCTTCAAGAAGCTTTGGTGTCAGGCCAAGAATCCGAGGTGATTCGGATAACAAAGCAGAAGAACAATTTAGCTTATTGTATGCTTTGAGGTATTTTGTTAGAAGATACGACCATCTTTTCGAAATGGAACCTTTACCGCGCCCTAAAGTTGTTTCCAGTTTCTTCACGTATCGGTATAAGTTCAAGGCTTCATGAGGTGGTATTTCTTGTTGACCCTTTGGCGTCTTTTGTTGAGTTTTTGCCTTCCAGTGACGAGGAAACTTTAGATCATCTTTCTTGGAAGACTTTTGGCTACGATCATCGACGATCAAACCTTTCTCCTCTTTCCAGCTGACAGCAGATCCAAGATCTGGAGTTGTGAAGTAGCGATTAGTACGGAAAGCAAGGCGATAGATTCCTTTTAGCCTAAATAAAGTGTAAGAAAAACATTCTCTACATGAAAACCACGCGATCGCCATATTGAGTTCAGATGGCACACGTGGGGGAAAGAGGGACTGGACATGATAGGAATTCTTGTGTTCATGATAGGAATTTTGGTGTTGTCCTACATAACCAAATAGAAGAGTATTGCACCATTTTCAATATGGCGGAGCCGGCTAAAGAAACATTTTGCTGATTTTGTTCAGTTTAAACAATCTCTACCGAAATAAATAAATAATTTCGATACATAGCAAATAAATTTTCAAATTCTTAAAAAAGTAGGTGTTCAATGGGTAGATTTTCGCTGTAAAATGATTTTCAAGATTTTACCGGAAGTGAAGAAATCGTGCGCGCGCATTTCAACCCTCACGTGGTGGCTGTAATTCAATTTTTCGGCGAAAAAATTAAGAAGTTCGGGATTTTTGGCTCCACAGTAAATTATTACTTATGTCTCTACGGGGACTACAAAATCAACAAACGCAAGACAAACTTACTCGGATTGCTATAGTAAGTAATGATAAGTGTAAACCAAAGCGATGTCAGCAACAATGCAAGAAATCTTGTCCTGTGGTCAGAATGGGTACGTATGTAAAATCGTGTTTCGAATGATCGGCGGATATGTTTTTTGTGAGTGTTGTGCTTCTGAATCGTTACTCAACACACAGCCCTAATGAACCTTTTGCCAACAGGAAAACTGTGTATAGAAGTATCCCCAGCGTCGAAGATTGCTCACATTTCTGAGACACTCTGTATAGGATGTGGTATCTGCGCCAAGGTAAAAACATTTCAGAAGGAAAACACTAAACACTTTCAAAAGAGAGGAGTTTTTTGCGTATAGATACTTAGAACAAATTTTTTAATAACTCCATTAAAATGTGGTGTTAAACGGAAGGCAGACGATGTAAACAGATTTTTTTGTTTTTTTTGTTTCAGAAAGTCAAAGTTTCTGGCAGTGTATTTTAGCTGATTTCTGTTTTTCTTTTTATTATGAAACTGAAGTTGAAACAGATTAATTTTTTCTAAGATTTTTCTTCTGGAAATTTAACTTAAGGTGGCAATCACATGGATCCCCTTAATTAATTTCTGGTACAAGTTGCTTGCATCACTAATAGAAGGAAAATTTGAGAAGGGGGAGTGTGATACTATGCCATATTTTGGGTGGTTTTGAAAGCCATGGGTCTTTAAACTCAACTCTTAAAAAAGTTATTACTTGCGTGTTCAAACTGTGCACCAAAATTTAAAACTCTGCAAATCATTAATAAGAAAACCTAATTTTTTGTCTTGTAGAAATGTCCATTTGAAGCTCTTACCATCATCAATCTGCCAAGCAATCTTGAAAAGGAAACCACACATAGATACAGCGCCAACTCTTTCAAACTGCACAGGTAAGTGTTGAAATATTGTCTCATAGAGAAAGCAAAATTGTGACACAAGGAAAGTAAATATTACTTTTTAGAAATGTCGTGATAATTTCATTAAAAGAAGACATTCTTAAAAGGTTGGTTTTGCCATCCGTCTTGCTTTGCTTTCTAGGTTGCCAATTCCCCGACCAGGAGAGGTGTTAGGGCTTGTAGGGACCAATGGAATTGGAAAATCTACAGCACTGAAGATCTTGGCAGGAAAACAGAAACCAAATCTTGGGAGATTCAATGTAAGTCATCTTTCAAAGAGCTTGCTACTTTTCGGAAACATCTCTTCAGACACAGATGTTGTGTTTACTGCATTCTTATACCTGCACAGCACTCTGCATGTTCATAGAAAATTAGAGTGAACATTTCTTTTTTAGAACCCACCAGACTGGCAGGAGATTCTTTTGCACTTCAGAGGATCTGAGCTGCAGAACTACTTCACAAAGATTTTAGAGGATGATTTAAAGGTGTGTGCTTGGTTATAACTATACATCTGCACTGCCTTTCTCCACTGTATTATTTTAGAAACCTTTGCTGCCCTTTGGTTTTAACCCTTTAACTTCCAGAAGTGATTGAGAGGTAACTTCTCCTTATAATATCCATACACTATCTAGAAAACAGGTAATGAGAATATTAAAACTTATCATGTAGAAGTTGTTATTCTTGATCTAACAACAAATTCTCTTAACTGATTTAAAAGGAAATGTGTAACAGCTACAGGGGAGAATTAATAATTAAATCATTTTTTGGTTTGCCATATGGGTGTTGACTAAAGTTTGCCAAACTAGAAACTTTGATCGCAAATTTTATGGCTAAACTTCATTACTTCATGCTATGGTGGTGGCTGCTTTTAGCGTTAGTCATTTTGTTCAATTTTGAATCCCATTTTCTCTCATTAGGCAATCATTAAACCACAGTATGTGGACCAAATTCCTAAAGCTGTCAAGGTGAGTAACTTAGTGATTGCTTCCATATTTGTTGCCAATTATACTTAATACACTCAAAAATCTCTTCATCAGAGAGAACTGCTCAGTCATTCAGCAATCTAACCTGAATGGTTAATAATCCAGTTCTGTTTTCATTTAGGTTTGTTTACATGTGAGCACATGAAACTTGCTAGCAATGTTCTGAAAGTCAGTTTGACAAAACAAATCAATTACTATTGGGAAGAGGCAGGGATGGATATGATGATGTTTGAACAGGTCACATTTCTTAAACCCTTAAAACAAATTTTAGTCACAATTAAATCAGAGGTTAGATGGGTCAAAGGTGTAGAGGCCCATATCTGTGGGTGTTTAATAATTCCTGGTTTCTGTAGCATGAAGTGATCAGGAATACCTCTATTAAGCCTGGATAGGAAATTTGTCCATCACAGGTACTTTTAGCTTCCAGCATTTTGTTAGGCTTCACTGGTAGCACGCCAGTACCCTATTACAGTTGTATACTCTCAGGTGGAGAGAACCCTCCCCTCCCTCTCCCCCCCCCCCACCTTGGGGGAGGGAAGACACCTACAGCGTAACTCACTCAGTGCCTGACAACAAAGGCTTTTATTGGAAAACCGTGTGCAACATCAATATGTGATGGCGTACTCGCAACCTAAGAATACAATGCAATGACCCAGACAGTGCTGAAACTGGAACGTCTCAATCTGAAATGTAGTGAGTTAACTTCCTAACTCCTCCTTCTCTCTCTCCGACAACCAAAATCAGTATGATCTACATTTGTAAAGATACAATCCATCAAATTCCTGTAATCATATTTTGATAATTTTTTCATAATTTTTTCAGGGAAGTGTTCAGTCGATTCTTGACAGAAAAAATGAGATGGACAATCAAGAACATATCTGCAGACAGCTTGGTATGCTTGGTACTTTTTGTTTATCTCAGTTACCAACACCAAAATCTCACTGCCAAGTTTTGCTGTCAACTGCCACACAATTTTATAAGCCATTGTCATGATGGTACAACAAAAAATTCCCAATAATATTTCTGGCAATTTTTATCAATTTAAACATGCTGTGTCTTTCCCAGATCTATTAACAGTACTGGATCGCAATGTGGATGAACTTTCTGGAGGAGAGCTGCAACGGTTTGCTTGTGCAGTGGTTTGCATACAAAGAGCTGATATGTAAGTAAGAGATTAACTTTTAACCTAATCACAAGGTTAGGTTAGTGGTCACTACTTACCAATACCTTTAGCCGAAAGTTTACAAATTGTTTTCCTTTCTCCTAGATACATGTTTGACGAACCTTCAAGTTACTTGGATGTGAAGCAACGTCTGAAGTGTGCCTTGACAATAAGATCCCTTCTGGGTGATGATCGGTAAGTATTTTGTGGTATAAATATGCAAGTGTCAAATCGCCAGAAATCAATCACAAACTGGAAATGTTACACCATAATAAACACTTCAACCTCCTCAATGTGGTTTGTAATTCTCCCTTCGAACATCTTGCTTTCTTTGTTGACTGGAAAAGAGAATTTGGTGGTTGATTTATTAAGACATCATCCCTCAGATGATATGCTTGTGAATTCTCATCACCTGCTTTCTATTAATATATAGATGATGTTAGGAGAAGCTAAATTTTAATAGCTGTTTATGAGTTACATGTAAGCTTCAAACTGATGAACTGGCAGTCTTCTATAGGACATTTCACAGTTGTGTACTTAATTGCCAAGCCTTTGATTTGGTGTGAGGCTGAAGGTGACCTGGTTGTGACAGAGACCAGTATCAAGTAAGCATGATAACTAGGTAATTTACCTTTGAAAAGCAACAAGGTTTGTATCATAACAAGGTCACTCTTAGCCTCACTCCTGTTCAAAGGCTTGGTAATCAAGCACACAACTGTAAAATGGACTATTGGCAGTATTAAGGCTACATAGGGAACAAGGAAGAGTTTTTAGCTTCTGAATGTATCTAAGGCGCTTGTATCCCTGTCGCACACTTACAATGTTCACAGAAAACTTAATTACATTATTTTCTTTGCAGGTACATTATTGTTGTTGAACATGACTTGAGTGTGCTGGATTATCTGTCAGACTACATATGTTGTCTTTATGGATCTCCTGGAGCTTACGGTGTGGTTACCATGCCCTTCAGTGTCAGGGAAGGTAAGAGTGGAAGGTTGTCAGCCAAACAAGGCAAAGGGTGAACCAGTTCCTTGACTGTGTGACAAACTTGTCAAATTGAAGACTTGTATAAAAGCTAATTGGCCCACACTGCTGGAGTTAACCTATAGTGTTTAAAACTGATGTGGTAAATTTACCAGAGACCATCACAAGTTCCCCTTTCCCCGACCTGTTCTAGCTTTTTTGAGGTTACCCAGACAACTGAGCAGAACCCATTCTACTCCTGAATGTATGTAGGACAGTAAGAGTCAAAGTTTCTGTCCAGGAACACACCACAGGCTTAAGCAAAGACTCAAATTTGACCCCTTTGATTAGGCCATGGATTTTCCTTACTACGGCGGTGTTCTCCAGAAGCACTTGCAGGCAGCCTTTTTCACTCATTTCTGAAGTGACACCTACTATAACTAGACAAATACATCACAAAAGTTATTTCACATCCAGATCTATCTTGACCTTGAATGAATTTTATCCTTTACTTTATTTTGGTATGTACCCGAAAACATTGGTTAAAACTGGGAAGAGAGCAATGAGTAGTAGATGCTGGCTTAATAAATTCTCTTGCCCCCTTGGGTATTCCTTTGATTCCTGCCAGCTGCTGTCTTTTCATAGCTGGCTGCTCAGAAAATCTCTGGAAAACACTGCTAAG